GATTGTATTTATTTTATAATTATAATGACGACCACTGGGTGTTTTCTACGATACTTTATTTGTGCCTTTTCTATAATCGAGTCTCTATCAACAACTACTTTTTTGTTTTACAAACAACCGTTGCTACTGGTATCTCGAGCTTCAATTATTTAAATTCTATTCTCAATTATTTTAGCAGCACTAACGATTAACAATTCCTTAACAAATGTATTGTCCAATTTGAAACATAACAAGAAAATAAATGCGAAAAATTGATTTTATACTTGCATACGTGAATACGAAAGAAGAAAGGTCCGATGGAAGATACAAAAGAAAAAAAAAGATTCAAGATATTTACATCGTTTCTCGAAAAGCTTTGAGGAGGTGCAACTCACTTATAAAACGTTTTCCTTAGAGTTTCAGAAGAAACGATATACATTTTTGTTGCTTTCAGTTTTTTTAGGTTATTTAGGTATTATAGGCTTCGTTGGAAATCACGATTCCAGATAGAAAAGCTATTTTTAGCTTTTCTTTTCTCGTTGCTTTTCAAATTGGAAAATTAAATAATTTTAAAAGCTGGATGAAGTGCGCAAAATGTAACATCATCTATTTAAATCATTCCCAGCAAGCATTTATCTTTCTAACAAAAAAGTATAATCTATCATGTATAAATTCAAAGTTCTGGTCTAAAAAGTTGGCAAAGTTTTCTCCTCCCGCTATTTAACACGAAATACTTTGTGTCTAAATTATACGCTGTATGTTTTCCAATATTGAGAAAAAATTTACATGTTGGACCTAATATCTCATATCCGGCGAAATTACAAATTTCCGATATTGAGAAATCGCTTACGTTTTAGCAATGGTTTGAATGAAAAGTTGTTATGAAATAGGCCTTCAAAAAAATGCAATTTGCACATGTTTTTGAATTTTTTTAAGTGTATAGTAATTGCTTTACCTGTTACTTGCTTACAAATGCTCTTTATTAAATTATCTTCTCCACTTCAAGAGAAATTCAGAATAATTCACTGCGACTTCAAAGCAGGTTTTTCTTAACATCTACAATCATGCAATAGCATGTGATGATTAAATGGTTCTTTCAAAAAAAAAAAATAGACACTATAGCACACACACATACCTTTAATTTCTGTTAGTTATTTTGCAATCCTGCCTTTTTAAGTTACCTATTTTGAAATGTCTTCGAATATTTGTTCAACATACTTGCCAGTATTCGTCTGGGTGCTCTCTTGAAATAAATAATGTTGCCCCATTTAACGATATACGGTAACATTGAGACGTTATCCTGGATACATATATGCCAGCGGTAGCCCTTCATCAATGATTGCGTTCATTTCAAGTAACACGAAACGTTTCCAGAGAAATTATCGATTTTCCCACACATGGCCATTCCGTTGAAGTTCGATAATCACAGCAATCGCGAACCGTTTAGACAAATGAGAGCAATTATTTAAAAATAAAAAGAACTACCATTGCAAATGGCTCGTATTAGTGGTGACGCCAAAGTGGATTTATGATGTTTTTTTCAGAAATAATTGGGTTTCAACTTAGAAGCTACTCGTTGTTCTAATGACTTTAAAAGTAATCAACAGTCTGTCAAAGTATTTGTGGTTTCTTCTACTGAAAAAATTAAAAATGTTTCGCACAAATAAATATTAGTAAAACATAAAATCGATGATACTAAAATTAGCTCACAACTTAGAACGAAGCTGTTCTCTTCCTTTAACTTGTACTAAGGTTTAGTTGATTTGGACCAAAATGATCAGATATAAAAGGACATAAGGGTTTCATGTTTGTTGTTGAATCAATCCGGCCAGGAGCAAATAGCTAAAGTTATTTTTTAAGTATTATATAAGGAAAAAACCAAAAGCGCACCTCGAGCTTCGCCAACCTCAGGCACCCCCAGGACCCGTTCGAGCCTACTAGCTCTCGCCAGCTGGGTTTAGCCTGAAATTAGCGACCCCGAAACCCGCGCTGGGAGTGCCTGAGGTTGGCGAACCTCGAGTTTTGGTCTTACATCTAATCTTACATGATTTCTGATTCGGTCATTAATTGCCGACCAAATTTATGTCTTTATTAATTAATAAATTGCATAATCAAATAATCTAGTCTATTGAGAGGAGTACACAAAGTTTGTAACATGTTTCCATTAACACCATGTATTTTAACCTAATTTCATAGTTCAATCCGAAATAGGTCCCTAGTAATATTTTGCTTAGTTATCATATCAGAATACATTCTGTCGAATGCATTACATATCCTGGGAATATGTTAAATCTCTTGTAATTAAAGAGGCATTTAACTTTGTCGCCAACTTAATACACCMTSTAYAGTAATATCTTAACC